TTTTTAGAACATATCAACTTTAATCCTTTTTGTTCATAGATTTGCCAATTACATTAAATACCTAACACATTGCACACTCTCAATTTACTCACACAAATTCTCTTGAAATCGAGGCATGTGCAAGGTTTTTGGAGACCAATCCACCGTGCACCCATAAACGCTATTTTGAGGAGTTGGGAATGGGGTCGTACAAAGCCATTACCATCCATTCAGTAGCCTCCTAAATTGGAACTCAAGCAACTACCACCTCATCTCAAATACGCTTACTTGGGGGAGTCCTTTACACTGCCAGTAATTATTTCAAACTCAATCAACAAGGTGGAGGAGGAGAGGCTACTACAGGTACTCAAGGACAATAAGACAGACATAGGATGGTCCATTGCAAGAATCAACCATTCACTGTGTATGCATAAGATTCTCATGGGGGAGAATTTTCGACCGAGTGTAGGCAGTCAGCGAAGGCTTAATCCAAATATGAAAGAGGTAGTCAGAGCAGAGGTACTGAAACTCCTGGATGCGGGTATCATCTACCCATTATCAGACAATGCATGGATTAGCCAAGTTCACGTCGTGCGGAAGAAGGGTGGAATTACAGTGTTGCAGAATGAAAAGAACGAATTAATTCTCACCAGGACTGTTACAGGATGGAGAGTTTGCATTGATTATTGTAAACTCAACGCTGCTACTCGGAAGGATTAGTTTTTCCTCCCATTTATCGATCAGATGTTGGAAAGACTGGCAGGATACTCACACTACTACTTCCTTGACGGATATTCTAGATATAATCAAATTCCAGTAGCACCCAATGATCAGGAGAAGACCACTTTAATTCAAATGGCGTAATCACTCACATCATACACTAATTTGAATGGGTCATACTTATGTATGGCCTCCATACAATAGGTCAGTGTGAACATATATCATTACTGCAAAAATACCAAAAGAATAATAAGTCACAATTATAATATCAAGTCATATATTATGCTATCACGTATGATCAGTCACATTCATACACGTCACACAATTCATAAGCGTTATAACATCCACCATAAAGATGCCTCATAAGAGTCAATTTCGGAGGTCACAAACTGGAATTTTTTATACTCAAAATAAGCACTAATAAGCCTTTTTTAGTTTTTATCACAAATAAGTAATAAATAAAGTGATGTCATAGAGCGAATATATTCTATGCAAAGAGCATAAACATGAAATAAAGTGATGTCATAGAGCGAATATATTCTATTCAAAGAGCATAAACATGAAATAAGCACAACTAAGTCTCTTTCTCACAAATAAACAGTGATTATACTAAGGTCACAGACTCACAATCTGATTATATGTTACACTCGAAATGAGCACAAATGTGTATGTTGGTCACGAATGAATGATGGACACGTCGAGGTTACGGACTGAATAAATTGTACGCAATGAGGACATGAGAAAAGTACAACTAAGGTTGCTGGTCAAAAGTAAGCAATGAATAAATGGAGGTCACAAGTAAGCAATATGAAACTTATTTCTTCGTCGAAGTCTAATTTTAAATCACCAACCAACTGAAACCGTGAATAGAAAATGGAGAAGTCATAATAAATATGCTCAGTAGAACTGAAAACGGAAAAGTCATAATATAGTTTTAAAACGATTCTGAATGGCAGATAACACCTACTGCCTAGTTGGTCTATTGCAGTGGTTGTGAATTTTCGCAAAGAACGAGCTTTAGATTTGTGACCTTCACCATGATGTCCCAAAGTCAAATTTTTGTTCAGCATTTTCTTCTTTTTAGTGGATAGAATTCAATAATATTTGGCAGATTCAAATTAAAACAGAGAGGAAATCTCGAACACAAGTTACGTCCCAGATTTACGTTCAATCTAGTAAACATAACTATTAAAAATGTTTTGGAGGACTGATGTTCCTGATCGAATCCCGAAAGCTCCTTTTTTTTTTTTCTATGTTCCTGATCGAAATATTGCTTGTGAATGACAATCAATAATCTACAAAAGAGAAACAAAGTTATTCAATTTGTGGAGAGATCAAGTTGTTCAATTTCTTTCTATTTTGATCAGAGGTGAGAGATTGAGATATCTTACCTAACACTCCTCCCTTATCAGTGGAAATCCAATCCCGTCTTGCCTTTTTTTTCTCCTTTTTCATTTTTTCATAAAAAGCGGTTCTACATGTTTCATCACTTCTCCTTTATCTTGGTAGGAAATAACTGATTTGACTTTAGTTTATTTTCTGGAGCGATAAGGTGAGAGAGAATATCACTAATTATCGTATAATAACCTTAATTTACATCACAATATTTTCTAATAAAAATCTATCCATATATAATTTTTAAGAGAATATAAACATGACCTATGACTTGATTTTTCAAAGAAATATACAAGTTTGATATTTTTGAAATTGTATTATAAAAGTATTTTTCAGTGGAAGTTGAGATTGTACAATTAGAATAAGTAACAATTTTAAGGTGGCCGTTTTTAACTTTTTCATTTGGTAATTGACAATTTAAAAATTAATAATATTTTAGGCGTGCTCGTACAAAATTCCAGTCAATATAACTCTTTTTATAATAAATAAATATGTTGAAATTCAAGCAAGGTTGGCTACTGCTGCAGAAATTGCTTGAAAGTTGAACTTAAAGACTACAAAATTCTACAAAACACTGATTATAGAATGCAGTCATATTTGGTGAGCTGAATGTATGACAGCTCCAATATTACATATTCGATTGTATTCATTGTCTTCACTGTGGATAAAATTACACGTACCAAATCTAGGGAGAGTGGATTAGCTCAATTTTTTTTTTTTAATTCATTTTCAATATATTTGATGAATCCACAACTTTGATCATTTTTTCGACCACATATTTCATTAACTTTTATCAAAATATGCTAAATTTTTTATTTTTTTAGTCAAACCAAATGGGGCTCTATTAATAGAGCATCGTACAAACTCTTTAAGTAATGTTGTACAAATTGAGCTCCGGCTTTTTTCGGGCACAATTGGGCGTTCCATGAAATGATTTGGAGACTGTTGGGCTTGACAAATAATGAATTACAACGAATATTAAAATAATTGTTTAAGATAACAATTTTCCATATTTCAAAGGTCTCAAGTTTTCAAAGGTTGTGGGCGGCTCATTACGGCGGCTCATTACGTCTGAGGCAATACAAAACTTAAACGTACAGTACCGTGTTTCTAAAAACATTAGCAACAAAATTGGCTAGATAATGGTATGGGCTATGCTATTCGTCCACGGCCACGTTGGCTCATGGCTGGGTGCCACGTTTTTAATGGTATAATTCAATCAATCATACTACATGTACATGGTTCTTGACATGAAGTTTTACATTGTTCCATGTGTCGCGACATGATTGACCAGTATGAAAACAAAAAACAGTTTCCCGCCCATTCACTTTTGAATTTGTAAAGACATGTCAACTATCATGTACAAAATCAATTTACAAATGGTTCAATCCTAATTCAATTAAAACTACAACATAATGAAAATGACAACCCAAAATAATAATTTCTGTTGTCATGCCTAGGGGTGTCCAAAAGTCCCGAATCGAACCGGACCGAACCGAACCCGAACCAAACCGAACCGAATCGAGCGGTTCTTCATAAATTAAATACCCGAACGGGTACCCGAATCGAGAACCGATGGGTTTGGGTCGGGTCTCGGGTCTAGACCAAGAACCGAAGAACCGAATAAGAACCGAAACTAAATAATTTTTTTATTTTTTATATTGAATTAATTAAATTATTTTATTTTTTTCCTATACAAATTAGCAAATTAATTGAATAAATTAGATTATTTCATAATTTTAATTTTTAAGCCCAAATCATTTTAAAATCCATTAGCCCATTTTAATTTGAAGCAAATGAATATACTTTATGTAGTTTTGCTATAATATTAATATCTACTTTTTGGTATTTGTATGCATTGAATTAATCTTATTGGACGGCTAGTTTTGTATATTTTTTTGAATTGGGCTACGTTAATTTGTAAAAGTTACGAATGAAATGTTATTAATTGTATTTATGTAGTGTTGCTGAAAATATTAAAAAATTTAATTATGGTACGGAACCGAACGGAACCGAACCGACCCGAACCGAACCGAACGGAACCGAACCCGAACGGTTCCATAATTATATTTGGACCCGACGGGTCCATTTATTAAATACCCGAAAGTTTTGGGTCGGTTCGGGTATCTTCAGAACCGAACCGAACCGACCCATGGACAGCCCTAGTCATGCCAATTTTGAAAGTTTCAACGATTGAATTGCGCCCGGGAAATGAACATGTATATTTATAGTAGAACATAAGCATAAGAAGATGACTTGTTAAACTTCCTACGTGAGAAAAAATGATCTGTTTTTCACCTTCGATAGTTTCTCTTTTCGCGTTAATTTTGTGCATTGTCTTCCTTTTCAAATGGTACTTTAATCCGGCGTCAACAGCCCGGAAAAGGTTACCGCCATCTCCCCCTAAATTTCCCGTGATTGGAAATCTTCACCAACTCGGCTTATACCCCCATCGCTCTCTGCAAGCACTATCCAAACACTATGGCCCACTCATGATGCTTCATCTTGGCAGATTTCCAGCAGTTATTGTTTCGTCTGCAGATGCAGCCAGGGAGATCATGAAAAATCAGGACCTGATTTTCTCAAACAGGCCGAAATCGAGCATCCTTGATAAAGTTCTTTATGGCTCTAAGGACATCGCGTTTACCCCTTATGGTGAGCACTGGAGGCAGGTGAGAAGCATATGTGTGCTTCAGCTTTTAAGCAATAAGAGGGTTCAATCTTTTCGTCATATAAGAGAAGAAGAAACATCTCTTATGATTCAGAAAATTAGACATTCTTGCTCTTCATCTTCATCATTGGTAAACTTGAGTGATATATTGGTGTCACTTACTAATGATATTATATGTAGAGTGGCCCTTGGTAGAAAATATACTGATGGAGAAGAAAGCACGAAATTTGAGTCAATGTTGAAGAACATTGGGGAGTTAATAGGTATTTTTAATGTAGAGGATTACATTCCATGGCTTAAATGGATCAATACCGTTAACGGTTTGAATACCAGAGTCGAGAAATCGGCTAAAGTGTTAGATGATTTTTTATCGGATGTAGTTGAGGAGCACAGAAATCGAAAACAAGGCAAGACACAGCACAATGGCAGCAACAATGAAGCTGGAGGACCAGATCTTGTGGATATATTGCTCGAAGTTCAGAGGGAAAACAAGGCTGGTTTCCCCATCGGAACTGATACCATAAAAGCTGTCATTTTTGTAAGCATTTTCTTTCTCTTCCTCTATGTTTTAAAATATTCATTTGTGTCTGAATAAGTGGTGAATACCATTAACTTTATTAAGAATATTTTGAACTCTTTTAAAACATTAGATTTAACCGGCATATGAAAATATTTGGCTAAATTCTGACCTTTCATTTGTTGAATGCAACATCGAATTGCATATCGATCACTGAATGTGTGAGAATCTTCGAATCCTAATTCCTTGTGAGTTTAGTTTGTAACATACCTGCAAAACAATACATCTAAAAGGGCCCTACAATTGCTGTTATGAATTGATCGCAAGATAATGACAATAATGAATAAACAAAAACAAATAAGAACGCCAAAATTTATGTGGAAACACAAGATGGGAAAAAACCACGAGAAGAAGAGGAGAATTGAACTATAAACAATAATGAATGTGTTTATAATATCAAGATCTCAATACTCTCAATTGAAATCAAAGCTCTCTAACTTTCAAAATATTGTTGAATGTATGTATATGGAGATATAACTTAATGTGGAATATATATATATATATATATAAGCCTCTTTCTGTATATATATATATAAGCCTCTTTCTGGAGTTCTAGATGAAAAAAGAAAATATAAAATCCCGAAAAAATGGAATAAAACTTGTCACGGTGGCACCTCGGCACTCCAACACTCGGGGCGTTTCTTCAATCAGTGGCTTTGGTGCCGGGCTTACGCGCCCCACTTTCGGTAATTTTGTCTCCAATTTATTTTCTTCATCCCAAATTCCTTTTCCAAGTCAAACTCACAATCCTTGATGAAATTTGTTCTCCATTAATTAGGACTCTTATAATCAAAACTCCTCCTCCTAATCAAACTCTCAATCCATGACGAAAATTGATCCCCTATCAAATCGGACTTTTAAACCAAAATTATCTACACTTCTTCCATGAATCAAACTTCCAATTCACATAGAATTTGAGTCACAAAATGGAACAGTTGCCTAGTACAGGCAGGCCCTCTGGCGCTCAAGTCTGCTAACTGAGTATTTTATGTCATGCCTTGACAATAAATTCTTCATAACTCATATCTGGTGGTCTCTGTATACTTGTACTTATCATAAGAAGATAGAGAGTAACTCATTTTCTTCCTCAATCAATTCACCTATTGCCATAGTCAAGGATATAATATTTAATTAGGTGAATTTTTATACACAACAATCAGCTATATATGACAGGATAGTCAAGGATATAATATTAATTAGGTGGATTTTTATCCATTCTTTGTTTATGACAGGATATGTTTGCTGCTGGGACGGACACGACATCTACTGTTTTGGAGTGGGCAATGGCAGAGCTTTTAAAGCACCCAAAAACCATGGAAAAACTGCAGAATGAGGTGAGACGTGTGGCCGGAAATAAATCAGAGATAACTGAGGATGACGTAGAGAAAATGCCCTATTTAAAGACAGTGATGAAAGAGAACCTAAGACTACATCCTCCAATTCCACTACTCGTTCCACGAGAATCAACCCAAGACAGTAAAGTAATGGGATATGATATTGCAGTTGGAACCCGAGTGTTAGTCAATTCTTGGGCAATCGCAAGAGATCCAATGTTGTGGGAAAATCCGGAAGAATTTAGTCCAGAAAGGTTTTCTAATATGGAAGTGGACTTCAAAGGGTTCAATTTTGAGTTGATACCATTTGGTGCAGGTCGTAGAGGCTGCCCTGGTATTATATTTGGCATCGGGGTAGTTGAGCTTGCATTAGCAAAATTGATGCATAAATTTAACTTTACAACGGATAAAGATTTGGACATGACTGAAGCACCTGGAAGTACTATCCATAAAAAGTCTCCTCTACTTGTGGTCGCCACGTCTCAGTAATCTTGCTAGAGCAAATTAACTCTCCCTCTCTCCAGAACTCCCTTGTCATCTTTGGAATAAAATTATATCCATATCTCATATCTAGTTTGTTTAAAATAAATTCAATGAGACGTAAAGCTCTTTGTTTATGCTATATTAAATAGACATAAATGTGAACATTACGGTATCTTGGTATGTAGTACTTGTGAAACTGGCTCATGTAATAATTGAATAATGTTATTTATCATGATAGAACATTAGTCATATGACAATCTATTATCCTTCATATTTCTCTCTTTTTCTCATTCTCTCTCTTTCATAAAAATTGAACTGCTCAATTTCATTATTCCACATATACTGCCACATATCATAAAGATAAATAGCATTATCCAAATTTAAAATGTGAAATAATAGAGAGAATAATTTTTTTACAATTAGTGACACAGATTGAAGCGTAAGAAACGAAGGATACTTTCAAAGACTCATTAATTCTACGAATACCCATAAATTTGACAATGTTTTTTTTTCTTTTTTTATTGAAGAATGAATACCTAACAACTGACATAAAATTGAGAAAACACTCAACAATCTTTAATTTAATTCATTACAATCTCTCAATTACAATGATAAAGCACAATATATACAAGTTGTAATGTCAAATCTCTAAATGATAAATTAAGGAAAAACAAAACAATATAAGGAATTACATTCAACATTATTAGAATTATGGAAGTAAAAGCAATAAAAGTGGACAAATTTAATGGGATTAGCCAATCAACTTCTTTTATGTTGGTGAAATGTCACTTCTTCACATGATTTAAGAGGGACGAAGATGTTCTAGAGATAAATAATGGAATAACAGGAAAAACGTATAGCAAATATAACTTCTGTTTTAACTTTCAATTTGATGATTTCATCATTTTATAATAACTAGTAGTAAGTATGTGCATCGCACGTCTTATATATAGGATGGATGATATGCATATTATTTTTAAAGTACAGATACAATTTTTTAAAGTAGCTGATGTAATTGATATTAATAAAAAAAATTAAAATTGTTAAAAAGAATAAATATTTTTTTATGAAATTATGTATATAATGTGAAAATATTGAATAAACTAAAATGTAATATTTTGATTACAATAATTCTTCTTTGTACACAATATATTTTTGTCAACGTCCCATAATTTTCTTTATTATTCTTATTATTATTAAGACCTTTGTTGTTTGAATTGAAAAACTTGTGTGAAATATACTTGCCCATAAGAGAATACATATTCAAGAAGGTATATTCCAACCATAGGCATTATTCGTCCTTCAGACGTTACTGGTCATTACAAAGTATAAATGTAATGAAAACTATTTCCTTTTGGATTTTTTTTTATTTTTATTTTTTGAACTTAATTTATTATATATATTAATAATATATTAACATAAAAGAGTTAAATTTTTATTGAATAATCAAATTTTATTGAATAAAATGTAACACAGTAATTTTTCAAAATTTTGAACAAAACGTCTTTTCTATGATTATATGTAGATGAGCTTTGAAGGATTCATCAGCACAAGCCTAAATTTACACATTTTTTGTCACTATCAAATTTGTGTAACTCTTTTTGATCCTAATAAATACTAAAGAAATTAATGTACATTACAACGTTACATAAGATATATGTTTGTTTACCAAATAAATCACATAATGTAAGATAAAATGACAATTAAATTTGGTTATTTTGATCTACCATGTCCAATAAGTTTGGACCACGTTACAAATATGAATATATAAAACAACACCACAATAAAATTTCAGTTGTTGTCTGGCTGATTTTGAAGTTTCAATGATGGTATGATGTCCACAAAAAAAAATAATAATAATAAAAAAGAACCATATGAATTGAATGCAACCTTCACTTCTAATAATCTTTTTAAAATTAATGAATGCAAACTTCACTTCAGGCATGTCCTCTTCTTCAACTCCAACCACCTGTTCACCTTTTCAAATCCTGTCAACCTTGGCCACATGTTCACATTTTCCCACTTTCTCACTCTTGGCAACTTATTTGTCTTTCACTTACACTATTGGCTTAATTCCCAAAATCTCTTGAAAAAGCTTTTCTTGAATTATTATTATTATTATTAGTATTAAGGTCTCCACTGGTAGCATGTACAGTAAAAAGGTGGATGAGTATCGATATTTTCCGAAGTACGAAATACTTCTTTCTCATCGTGCACTCTCAATTAATTTCAATAAATCCCATGATACATGAATAAAAGCATAAGAAGTGGCTAAAGATGTCATCCCAAAGTAATTGAATCCTTAGACACGTCAACAACTATAAAGTCAATAAATAAATAAATAAATAAAGGAATATTCCCACTCACATCACGACATCAGTGTTGGAATAGGGATATTTAATCATCACAAAAGGGAAATTAATTTTCCTTTGACGAGTCAATCCAAAAGCATAGTGGATCTTAAATCACCTTGAGATCATATGACATTTTTGTTTAATTCCTAACACGTAAATGGTGAGATGATAACCTTGAAAGAACTTTTAATGACATAATCAAATGCTACATCCCTTAGATCTTCTCCCTTGTGCTCCTTAGGTACCTCTCTCACTTTGAGAGAGTGAAAATGACTAAAACTCTAACTTTGGTAAATGTGCCCTTAAAGGGCACATTTATAACACGCCATTAGGGTTTCATATTTGCACAAATATCATTGCACTTTATTGTAGTGGACCAAATAAGACACACACTTTTATTGGAGCCAAAAGAGGGATCTACCTAGACTCACAAGCCACAAGTTCCAATAAATATTTCTAATAG